GACTCTTTAGTATAATTCAACCACTGATTGTAACCAACAAGTAACAAAGATATAATAATTAAAACCCAATCTGTGGAGTTCTGGGATTCAAAGCAAGACTTAATACAGCTCCTGATCCATTTTTAACGTCTGTCGTTCTAATTAATTGTCTCTAGTATCCATATGGGCCGGCAGCCCTCCTCTGGTGCACAAGGTTGTCTGCATCCCTCCGCTGTTAATTGGCTTCAAAGAACATCTGCTCCTGTTTTAAGTGATGCTCGGTTTGGCCTGGGTGCCCTCGCTGTCTGAGGTGCCAGTTTAATGGGCGTGAGCTGAGCCCACAGCTCCTTCATCTCTCTAATGATAGCATGATTGTCCATTTTTCTCCTGTATGTAGGTTGTTATTGGAAGGATGTGGCACAACGTACAGAGAACGTACAGAGACACAGTCGAAAATAAAGATGAGTTTAAGTATTATATGTGGATTTATGGTGTCAAATTGAACTGAAGTGAGCCTTAAACTAAACCTCATGTCTCGTCTAAAGCAAATAAATACAACAGCTCCCCCAACAGCAGAGAATCTACTAGACATATTTCTACCTAAAGCCATGTGTTGTAGTGTAACGTAATGCTAATAAATGGAATTACTGCATAGATTGTGCCAGAAACTGCAAGCCTCACAAAAAATGGATGACGGCACTCCAGCCCTCAAAGCAGCTGCTTTCCACTGATAGCGGTGAAGAAGCCAATATGACGTGTTGGAGGAGAGAGAAACGGCTAAAATTAACATTCACCAGAGGGAGCAAATTACTTCATATGTATGGACCTCATGCAGCAGATTGTAAAAGCGCAGACTTGCATAGATTCTGCACAATATATATTTACTGACATTAGCCTGCAGTGAAATTGTTTGGAAAGGAGAACTATATAGGTTACAGTTTAGTAACTGCAAGATATTTGCTTACTTTGACTGATCCTCCTACTCCAAAATATATGATTCATTTCATTATGTGTAGGGATTCTTTGAAAGCAGGCACCAGTGGAAAAAAAAGGTAGCGTCTGAAACATGACATTAGCACATAGTTCAAACCAAGACTGTGCTTAAGTACAGCCTCACAGAGCTGCTATACACTTCTGTAGACTCTCGTTTGATGAATGAATACATTGGTTTTGTTCATGATGCTAAAAAAAGAAAATATAATAAAAAAAAGTATAAATTGTTTTCTATTTTTTTCATTTATACTGGTTGCTGATAGTATAGGTACAAACAGGAAAGAAGAGAGAGGGTGGGGGTATCCAGCTGCATACGTTGTGGTTATGTGGTATGTATTTAAACCTAAGGCGCCCCCAACAAGGAATGTTCAAGCAGACTAACAAGCGAGAATCCCATCCGTAGTGCTACAGTGATTCATCATAGCATTAAATGATGGTATATCCTCATCAATCACCTTCAACACGATACTGTATATTTTGTAGGGAGTGAGCTGCATCCTATCCCCCCATGATTTCACCATTTCCAGACTAGTGAGGGCTTTAAAACTCAGACTGTTGCAGCCCAGTCATAACTGAACCTGGGTCAGTGCACACAGATCTAGCACACGGTGTCACTGACATCAGTGTTTCCAGGCTGGATGAAGCTATGCTCTACATAGGCCCTCACAGATATATATCACACTTTCCAGTCTCACGGTGAGGTGATGGATTATGTAAAAGTAGTAAAAATCTGCCTAAATCCGAGACATTCCTAGGGGCCTCTGTGGCCAATTAGCTGCTCAGTTTACGGACATTTCCATATTCTCTGGAAAAGTGAAAGAACGCACAACTGCTGCCAAGGAAACCCTGCTCCAGTCGGCTCTGCGCTGGCCCGACACTCCTCCCTGGGCGTGCATCCCAAAGCCTGGAAAACTGGGAATTCCAGCTCACACTTCTCGCCATGGGAAATTAGCTCACCACTAGCACACAAAAGCTCAGCATTGTCTGGCAATAATTACAGTCTTATGTGTAATACTCCAGTACCTGACATTTCTCCATTTGTTTATGCGTTAACTTTGGCGCCCCCCCGGCAGGAATGATTGGCAAAAAATTATATTCATGATCCTGAAAGGACCAATCCTACTGGTTTGGATGATCCCTTGACATTACCTACCAACTATTGCATGGATTGCCATTAAAGGTGCAGTGTATAACATTTAGTATTTAGTATTTATTGGTATGTTTTCATTTGTGTATAATCACCTGGAAATAATAAGAATAAGATAATAAGAATCGCTGTATTTTCGTTAACTTAGAATGAGCCATTTTATCTACAGAGGGAGCGGGTCCTCTTCTACGGAGGACGCCATGTTGAGCCGTCATGTTTCTACAGTAGCCCAGAATGGAAAAACTACACACTGGTTGTAGATGGGGTGTTTTGTTTTTTTGTTTCTCCTACACACTTGGAAGGCTGGGCTGTATTTAAATGATTGCAATCTGTAACTTTGCGGCTTTGCAGAGTCTTGTTTTTACTGCAGCCAAGAATGTATGAGTTTATGAAATATGCAGAGTTAATTCCCTTAAATGTAAACCACAATTAGATGATCATAAAACTACATATTTATAAGTAATCTGCAAAATATTACTGATCATCATAAGTGTACTGTACTGGGTTACACACAGAGTTCTGTGCATTTCATTGGCTCTCTGCTGCGTTACTTAACTGAGCTTGCAGGTAGTATTGGCTACCACTGCTGCATCACAGCATGCAGGAAAGCCTAGAAAACAAAGTGGGGAATAGGGACTAGGGACTGCTGTCTTCAATTAGCTGAGTTTCCGTGAGGAGTGTCTGGGACTGGCCACTCAGTCTGTCAGACGGAGTCCCATCCGGCCGGGTCTCCGTGCTCCACATTCCATCCAGAGCGGAATTGTGTTCTACCCCATTTAAGACGTAAAACGGCGGTTTGGTGCTCCATATTGGAAACATGTGAGAGGAGTGTCAGAGAAAGAGTGGCGAGTCACGGCAGCTGGGGTCCTTTCAAGGTCAGCACTAGCTATAGTTCTGGACTGTCCTCCGTTAGCCACAAACTCTGGTTTTAACTGTACTCATTATATTAATTTCAACGTGCTTATTTTGTGCACAGTAATTAAACACAAACACATGTTGCCAGTGATACTCTGAATGGTTTGTTTTCATGCAAACACCTTACACATGGGGCTCAGACCGTCCGGTGTGTATCAACAGCTGGTCCTACACTAATCCACTCATCAGTTAAATTAAAGCTTACCCAGTTGTACAGTAAATGTTGATTCAGCCTCCTGCAGCGAGTGTCACACAAAACCAGATTGTGTAACCAAAATACGACAGTTTGCACAGGACCACTAGGATTTTTCCCTTCCTACAACATCTGGGATAAAGTTGGTGTCCCAGTTCAGAAGCTGGACCCTTCAAAGTCCACATTTCTAGACAGAATACGTCATAATGGGCCCACAATTCTTGGTCCTTTTTCAAAGGCTTCTCCAAAGAAAAGCAGACCTCTTTTGGCTGAATCAGGAGGACACAACTGGTGTATCACTTGCAGCCCTCAGTATCACATAATCCATTGTGCACCTGTCAGTTGTTTCATTGAGCATTCAGGTGATCCATGTTAACTAACAAAGTCAGGAATGTTGTTTTAAGCTGGTGTTTGTGGCCAGGTACTCGTACAATGAGGCTGAAACCTTTAGCCGATTAATCAACTCACAGAAAAATAACGATTTTATGTTGTCTTCTTGGCATTTAGGTAATTGATAAGGGCATTTTTCACCATTTATGACATTTTATAGATGCAACTATGAATCAATTAATGAAGAAATTAGTCAGCGTAATTATCTTACATTTTACGCCAGATGTGCACTACGTGTTCAAGTTAAATGTCACAACCGTAAAC